TTGAGTAATTACAATATGAAAACAAAACTATTTACAAGAAACCAAATAAAATAATGTTAGTAATAACCCCCCCTCCCCAAAAAAAAATTCCTTAAATATGGCAGAAACATCAGTTAACTGGACGAAATCAGTGCGGAACTTTAATAATCTAAAACAATAATTCATCCCATGTACTCACTCAAACACACACACACACGCATTCAGACACGAAAAAAATATACCCGAAAAAAAAGTCACCCTGCATCCACCAGAAAACTGACATCCCTAGCCCACCTAACGAGGGAGGGACGAGGTACCATAGTGAAGAGCTTATCCGAACAAGTAACATGAAATTATTTATAGAAAAAGCACGGAGAGGCAACGTTATGACGCTGGGAAAGTGACTGAAGCCAAGACGCCAGGTCAGGATCAATAATATTGCTGACTCTTTGGATTTTATCAAGAATCTCTAAATAAGAAAACCGGACCATATGTGGCAGCAATATTCTAAGCCTGGGCGAATGGTAGACATATATATATATGTAACAGAAAAATTGTCTTGCACGACAAAATGAACCAACATTCTTCGCGGCAAACCTATCAGTAGATTCAATATAGTATTTCCACTTCATGTCAGCTGAGAATGTTAACCCAAGAAGGCGTAACGAGTCGCTCTCCTGGAGGTTAGCATCAGCCATTCTGATGCGAGGCAGAAAGGAGTCTCTCAGGTAATTAAAAGAGAAGCTTAGTTTTAGAGGGTTTATAATTAACAAGCCATTCATTGCCCCAGGTAACAAAAAACTGTAGATCATTTTTGACATCAGCCGTCAATGTAAAATGTTTGCTTTCCGGCCATGAGAACTGGGTTCGAATCTCGTCACGGTCGATTTACCAGTAACTACATGGATTCTATCAGGTAGTTGATTAAATCCCAGGATGCATCTCTAAATAATCAGATTTTCTTTACAGTGCCTCGATACTTTTCGGATTATTATAATTTATTTAACGTTGCGTCAATAGCTTTAATATTTATTTATAGCCTAAGAGGAGCTTCTAATGCGATCGAAATGAAGTTATTTGTATAGAAATAACAAATTAAATTCTCTAAATTAAATTCGGCTAAATTAAAAGGCTAAATCATAAAAAATGTAATTTACTATATATATATATATATATATATATATATATATATATATATATATATATATATAAAGATGGCGGATGCGAAAAGAAAGCAACTGACGAGAGTATGTATTACTTGGCACCCTTTTACGGAAACAGAAAATTGAAATGCGTAACCTCTCTCGATTATATACAGATATATCTGTGTGCCTCTCTATATGTGCTATGTTTCCTCGGGAAAATAGTGATCGCGGTTCTCCACAGCGGTCTATCATTTCTTGCTTATATCTGATTCTTTGCGACACATGATTTTTTGCACCTTTTTTCTCCATCTTACTTTTCTCTACTTTTCTTGAACATAGACTAGGCTCCGTTAGGGATAGTTTCACCCAACACCACAATCTGCTACACAACTAAAACATTAATCTAACAATTCGAGTCGTGATCTTAAATACCCCCGTCAGAGTAAGTCTTTCCTATGGATGTAATCGATGGCACCAATCTCGTGGACAAATATCTAAACTATATAACCGCTTTGTTAGATCAGTGGCGAAAAATGGTGAATGACTCCTGTAGCTCTTATCGAGTACCATACTTCTTCGGGTCTCGGGGACTGACGCTACATAGTCGCAAAGACTTGCACTAGATAGCCGAAAACACGCCACTTCAGGAATTCCAACAGCAGCACCAACAGCAGCAGCCAAAATAGGGAGAACATGTAATTCGAAGAGAAATTAATAATATAATGAAGGAGTTGATAAACCAAAACGCTTCAAAGATAAGAATCAAGCTCCTATCGATAATGGAAAGAGCTATAATAGGTACTGAAATTATTTCAAGAGAAAATCTTTATAAATTTCAAACTATGGCAGCACTGACTACTCGATTAATGAGTTCCGATTATTTCCTTATAAGGAAACGGATAATATTGCCATTAGCATTATATGTCTTCTGAGTGCTGAATATGCGAAGCTTTCTTACTTTATTATGTGTCCTAAATATTTAATCTACCCATTCTGATATTGGCCAATTTTTTTCTTCGTGGTTCTTTAAGGATCTTCGTACCTAACAGAAATATCCATTGTATTCGCAGCATCCTTTAATAGAAGGACGTCTTTGCCTCTTCTTTATTTGTGAAGTAATTGTTCAGAAATTGTTGCCATGCGGCAGACATTGCATAACATTCGGAGGCTCTATTCTTTATTTTTAAGGATGTTTACCGATCCTTTTACAGCTTAACATATGAGAAAAAGAGAAAACCAATTATACGGAAGTTGCTGCCAACAATCAAGAAATGACAGCTGGAAAAAAAAAAACATTCGAGAAAATATAATAATGTAGTAAGAAGACTTGGTGAAAGTAACACTCATAATACAGGGGAAATATAAAAGATGCAGGAAAAAACAGTAAGTATTCTTTAAGACTTTGTGCAAATCGATGGCAGACTGGTATTGGAGTAAAGGGGCAAGAGTTACAGGAAAAAATATCAGGGATTTGTGGTGAGTCAGGATTTCTCACGTGATTTAATGGTAAATAAACGCCATAGGAGAGATTGTGGCATATAAGAGCAATACGTTATTGGAAAAATGCATACACAGTTTCATTATTTGCATATAAGAGGACTCCATAACTCGGTTACATTACTAATAACAAGAATGCATTACATAATTCATTTGCATGCATGTAAGCAGAATATATTACTCAGTTCATTACTCATATATAAGAGAAATATATTACTCAGTTAAATTAACATATAAGGGAGTATATTACTCATTTTTCTTACTAATAATAAGATCATATTACTCAGTTTCATTACTTGATCAAAAAAGGAGGACATTACTCATTCTAACTACATATAAGATGAATACATTACTGAGTAACATTACTTATAAGTAGAATATATTACTCAGTTCATGACTCGTACATAAGAGAAATATATTACTCAGTTCTATGATTTACATATAAGGGAGTATATTACTCATTTTCCTTGCTAATAATAGGAACATATTACTCAGTTACATTACGAATACGTTGAATACATTACTCATTTTCATTGCTTAAGTATTAAATGAATATATTACTCAGTTTCTTTACTAATTAGAGGAATACAATATTCAGTATCGTTACTAATCACAGTCACATTACTTACATATAAGAGGGATAAATTACTCAGTTACATTACTTACATATAAGCGGAGTATATTACTCATTTTCCTTACTAATAATAGGAGCATAATACTCAGCTACATTACTAATACGCAGAATACATTACTCACTTTCATTACTTACGTATAAGAGGAATATATTACTCAGTTTCTTTACTAATCAGAAGAATATAATACTCAGCTTCTTTACTAGTCAGAGGAATACATTACAGTTACATTACTTAAAATACATATAAGGATTAATTTACTCATTTACATTACAGATAATAGAAATACATTACTCAGTCACTTAACTTACATATGCATTCCTATTGACATAGCAGTCCCTGCAGACTGCAATGTATCTTTGAGGATCTTCAAAAACCTATTAAATTACACAGCTCTTGAAGTGGAAACCTCAAAGATGTGGCACATGAGGACATCAACAATTCCAGTTGTAGTTGGAGCCCTCGGATTGATTGGAAAAGATTCCAATAAACGCATTGAATGTATTCCTGGTAACCCATGCGTTAAAGAAACACAAAAACTTGTTTTCACAAGTACAGCCCCCACCTTTGTCTATGTAAAACATATGTGATTTTTTTTTCAAAATTGCTCAGTGGAAAATGCCATGAAGCCATTTCTGACCTTAAGTCTCTGATCAGGACCCAGAAAGAAATTAGTATACAAAAGAAGAAGAAGAAAAAGAAGAAGAAGAAGAAGAAACAACAACAACAACAACAACAGCAACAGCAACAACAACAACAACAACAATAATAATAATAATAATAATAATAATAATAATAATTGATTTGGAAGAAATGCAAGAAACTGGTATGAATATAACCCAGACCCAGTCACAGATATAGGAAGTGAAAGAATGTAACAGTACTTTACAATATACACAGAGAGATCAATCAAAGTTATTCGTTAAGATATGATCAAAGATCCCTAAAACAGAATTAGCTTTCTTATTGACATGGCAGTTCCTGTAGATTTTAAAGTACCTTTGAAGATCCTCAAAAACTTTCAAAATATAAGGATCTTGTAGTGAAAATCTAAAAAAAATGTAGCACTTGAGGACATCAATAATTTCAGTTGTAGCTGGAGCCATCGGCTTGACTGGAAACGAGGCCGATAGACTCATTGAAGGGAACTGTGGAAGCCCATGACATATAGTAATACAATCAATTGTTCTCACAAATACAGACTGCACATTACGAAACTGTAAAATGTGTGCGATCTTAGGTTTTCTATTTAATGTTTTTTTAGAAAACTCTTCAGTGAAAAATGTCTTGAAGCTATTGCTTCGCTGGTTAGGACCCTAAAAAGAAAATTCGTATACAATAGGAATCAAAGAAAACAAAACCCCAAATGATAGTAATATGCCAGAATTAAATTTTCTCTTAATATCACCATCACACCATCAAGTGAAATCGGTTAGAGCATAACTTGAGACGAACATCAGTGTAGTGTGGGCGGAGTCGCTTGACCTCATAGCTACATCTGTTTTTAAGCGTATGAAGGAATCATAATACACGTAGTTATATAAACAGCCAACAAGAGTGGCGTTGGGCAGTTTCTCAGACATCGAAGACGAGAATATAGGACCACATTTCGGATGATGTATTTTTTCAGACAGACGCATATATATTTAATAAGTGGGTCTTCATAATTTTTTATTTTGGGATTAAAGATGTTGTGATATCAGGTTTGATACTTTTAATGACTAGAGTACTTCCTTTTAATCAGATATTAAATTTCTTTGAAAGTTAGAAGAAGAAGAAGAAGAGAAACAAAGAAAAAAAGAAAAAAGAGAAACAAAGACGAAGGATAAGAAAAAAGAAAGAAAAGAGGAAAAGAAGAAGAAAAAGGAGAAAGAAAGATGAGAAGCGAACACGAAGAAGAAGAAAAAAGAAAAGAAGCAAAGAAGAAGAAGAAAAAGAAAGAAGAGAAAGAAAGACGAAGAAGAATAAGAAAAAAGAAAGAAGGGAGGAAAAAAAGAAGAAAAAGGAGAAAAAAGATGAGAAGCGAAAACGAATTAGAAGAAAAAAGAAGAGAAGCAAAGAAGAAGAAGAAAAAGACAGAGTAGAAAAGAAGAAGAAGAAAAGGAGAAAGAAAGATGAGAACTAATGAAAAAGTAAGAAAGAAAAGGATAAGAAGAAGAAAGAAGATAAAGAAAGAAGAAGAAAATAAGAAAAGAAGAAGAAGACGAAGAAAGAAAGAAGAGAAGGAAAGAGGATGAAGAAACAAAGACGTTAAGCAAAGAAAAATAAGAAAAACAGAGAAGCAAAGAAGAAGAAAACAAAACAGAAGCAAATAAGTAAAAGAAGAAAGAAGAGTAGTAAAGAAGAAGTAAAAGAAAGAAAGAATAAAATAAAAAGAGGAACAAAGAAGAATAAGAAGAAAGAATAGTAGCAAAAAAGAAGTAGAAGAAGAAGTAAAAGAAGAAAAGCAAAGAAGGAGAAAAAGAAGGAGAAAAAGAAGTAAAAGAAGAAAAGCAAAGAAGGAGAAAAAGAAGGAGAAAAAGAAGTAAAAGAAGAAAAGCAAAGAAGGAGAAAAAGAAGGAGAAAAAGAAGGAGAAAAAGAAGTAAAAGAAGAAAAGCAAAGAAGGAGAAAAAGAAGGAGAAAAAGAAGGAGAAAAAGAAGTAAAAGAAGAAAAGCAAAGAAGGAGAAAAGAAGGAGAAAAGAAGGAGAAAAAAGTAAAAGAAGAAAAGCAAAAGAAGGAGAAAAAAGAAGGAGAAAAGAAGGAGAAAAAGAAGTAAAAGAAGAAAAGCAAAGAAGGAGAAAAAGAAGGAGAAAAAGAAGGAGAAAAAGAAGGAGAAAAAGAAGGAGAAAAAGAAGGAGAAAAAGAAGAAAAGCAAAGAAGGAGAAAAAGAAGGAGAAAAAGAAGAACGCTAAGAGAAGAAAAAAACAAAGCAGAAGAACGAGGAATAATAATTGGAGGAAGAAATGGAAGAAAATAACAAAAAAAAAAAAAAAAAACAAGAGGGAAAGGAGGAAGAGGAAGAAGAAAGACGAGAAACGTGAAGACGAGGAGGATGAAAATGAAAAGAGAGCGGTGAGGAAGTACAAGTAAAAAAGAAGAAGAAGAAAATAGCGAAAGAAGAATGAGAAGGAACAGAAGCAGAGAGAAATCAGAAAGAGGGAAAAAAAGAAGAAGAGAAATACAAGCCCCGAAAGCTTAATTCTTTCGCTGCAGAACTTTTTAGTTAAGAAGCCCTTCATATTCGGTATCTATCAGTCCGAGTAATGAAACCAGGAAAAATAAAATACAGAATATATACCGTTTAAACGAAGCATTTTCTCTATTTTATTTTTTTCTGGATTCATGATGACGACGATATAGAATAATAAAAAAATACAACATTCATGGGTTATTGAATTAAATATTCAAGGAGATTGAATCAGTTGTCAGATAAAAAAATAATGTATCAGTTAAAGAATTAAAAAAAAAAATAATGTATCAGTTAATGAATTTAAAAAAAAATAAGTAAATGTAAGGAGCATAAAATTGAAATTGACAAAAGCTACAGTTACACTGATAATAATGAGAGCACTTGGTACGATTGGAAACGGTAAAGGCAAGAATATAATTTCATTGACCCTGTTTTAAAGAGATTAAAAATTTGCATTGTCTGGAACTTAGGAGAGCATTATCAACGTATATATATATATATATATATATATATATATATATATTATATATATATATATATATACATATATATATATATATATATATATATATATAGAACAAACCTAGTGAGTTAGACAAGGTTTTTCACCTAAACGGATCGTCAGGGTTCCTGATGATCCGCTTAGGTGAAACCTGCAGGTTTTTTTCTGGCTCACTAGGTTTATCTAGATCTGCTCTACGGTTGTATTGAGCTCTTTAGTTAGTTGTTTACTCGTGTCGGGGTTTTTTCTTTAGGCTTTGAACCTGTATCTGTGCGATTTTTTTTCGACAGACTTTCATGTTTCTAGCTCTTTCTTTTTTAAAACCATTTTTTCCTTCGAGATTGATTTTATTATTGGCAAATCAAAATTCGAATGTTTTTCGAGACGAGTATAGTTACCTATATATATATATATATATATATATATATATATATATATATATATATATATATATATATATATAAATCGCTGTAAAAACATATCTTGAGTAACTAAGGGGTATTACTTATTATAGTTGATAATTTATTGGTCCAACATACTTACCAGAATCTGACAAAATAATCAAACAGAATTGAGAATTAGGGCCGAGAAATTTTCAGCACACCTCCTATTATTATTAAATTCGTTTTTTTCAACCTCTGTGCGCGTGTCAAAAGATTATTATTATTATTATTATTATTATTGTCATCATCATCATCATTCGATTTCTGCTATGGACACACTACCTACCAAGTCTGCGGAAAGACCTAAGGCAGGTCGTGGTGTGTTGTTATGGCCACATTTCATTTATTATTATTATTATTATTATTATTATTATTATTATTATTATTCGTGTTGCCGGAAGGTAGCACAAAGTGCCATCCATCTGCCTTAGGGCCTCCATTCCGGGTTTGAATTCAGAGTTGTCCTTCTCCTAGACCAGTTGCCATTCAAGGCTATAGAACCCAGTCTGTCCTGTTATTTACCCATAGCTGGAGGGAGAAGAAGAGGATTCACACCTTTCCCAAGGGTAATTAGCACGTAAGTGAATGTAATGGATTCGACTGCAGCCGCGTTGGTACCAAACTGTATTGGACTCTGCTAGCAAGGCCGAGAGGAGGGACTAGACGTCCGGGCAGCCCTAGTTCTCCATACATCCCCCAGGCTCGTAGCGCACCGCGCTACTCTATCGTCTCTCGAGACGGACTGATGCCGACAACGATTATTCACGTATGTTATGTTTTCTGCTTTGTATCCTGTAGATCCGGGTCCAAACTATGGTCCTTAGGCCCTATAGAAAAATGATCATTTAATTGATCGCACTCTTCTGGTAGTTTGATCTTATGGCCAACTTTTATGTTGATGTTACCTGGGTCACCTTTAGTAAAATTGTCCATTCCTTTTCCCACGAGGCTTAGAGCTCCAATTACTGTTGGTACGGTCTCAGTTTTCCTTCCCCACATCCTGCTAATCTCGATTATCGATCTGAAGGTCCTTTATTATTATTATTATTATTATTATTATTATTATTATTATTATTATTATTTCCTTTGATTTCTGGCGTTTACACATTTCTTGCCGGGTCCCGTCCAGGGACCTAAGGTTAGAAATGGAATCATGACACTTTCCACTGACAAAAAAAAAAAAAAAAAATACATAGATAAAGCCCTTCGTAAAGTGTGGGCTGTACTTGTCAGAACAAATTTTTGTATCTCCTTGAGGCATGGACTTCCAGGAATCCCTTCAATTCGTCTACTGCAATCTTTTCCAACCATTCGTAGGGCTCCAACTACAACAGGGATTGTTCATGTTCCCATATGCCACATTTTCGAGATTTCTATTTCAAGGTCCTTGTATTTTGACAGCTTTTTGAATATCTTCAAAGATACATTACCGTTAGCAGGGACTGCCATGTCAATAGGGAGGCACTTTTTGTTTGTGGTCTTTATGATTATTATTATTATTATTATTGTTGTTGTTGTTGTTGTTGCTATTCTTCCGGACTGATTTTCGTTTTCAATCGGGGATCTTGAATTATTTCTGTTCTCTATCATGTTGAACACATAATCCATTAACATATTAGTTTGACTATATTTCTGAGATTAGGTATTATGTACACTGTTTACATTGTTCGGACTATTACCCTCATCTTTTTCGCCATATTTATCACCACGTTTCGGTACGCTCCAGCCTTCTTCAGGTGATTGGAATGTCGAACTGAACCCTTTATTTCGCTCCCTTGGATAGACTGTTCTAATTCCACATGCCATGTATAAAGGATGTCAGTTATCAATTATCTCCTGTTCATTCACCTCTCTAAGTTCTCCACCACCTTAACCAGGTATTGAACTCACACTCTTTGGGTCCTGTTACTGGATCTAATCAAAGCCTTTATTCACTGTGCCATGTGGAGAACTTGGAGAGGGGACATCTAATAGATGTCAGTTATCAGTTATCTCATGTTAATACATGAGATAACTGATAACTGACATCCATTAGACATGACACGTGGAACTAGAACAGTCTATCCCAGCAAGTGAAATAAAGGGTTCAGTTCGACATTCCAACCACCTGAAGAAGGTCGGAGCGTACAACGTCCGAAACGTTGTGATAAATATGGCAACAAAGATGAGGACAATAATCCGAATAATGTAAATAGTTTATATTAGTTTGAGTTAATCAAAGTGTCGCGTAACGATGATCTAAGGAGTCTACAGAATATAAAAGAAGACTCTGCTGCTACAGCTGTTCTACTACTACTACTACTACGGTTAATAATAATAATAATATTCACAGGCCTAGTAAAATACTTAGAAACAACACGAGATAAGTATCGAAAGGCTTCACTCAAGCATAAGAGTGCCAAGGATACTTCCATCATTTAAAAAAAAAGGCCAAGTAATACGGAACACCTTAGATGTAACAAATATTTAAGACAATTATCCTGAATCTTCAGACGCTGCAGTAAAGTAAATTTACTGGCGAAAACTGCTTATATGAAAGCTCTTGAACATTAATGGCCACAAAAACTTTTCTATGGAAAGTATCCATAGCGTCTGGATGAATCAAACAACAATGCTCGCCAAACCCATCAATAGCTTAGAGGCTGTTGTCTTAAGGAGAAAATAGAAGCTACACAAGACCAATGTCTTGCAACAAATGCCTACAAGGCGAAAACAAACAATGATGGTTCAAATACAGATATAGTATCGGGATAGCCACTACTTGCTGAAATAGAATACATTATTAGACATGAGAGGTCAGGAAAATATATTAATTTGCATGTGTATTCGAACTATGATATTGAAGTCCCGGATACATGGTACAGACACCATTCGGATGATGTCACAAATGGTGATGGAGTGACTATAATGTGAAATTTCCCAATCCTAATTCCCTGGACCCATCAGCATCTCACAGCTACAAAAGATTACACTGTGCGGAACTGCACATATCATCCGCAAAACCGTGTCCATCTAAAAGAAACGTCCCAAATATGCATAGATAACCCTTTTACGGTGCCATTTTTACTCAAAGAGGAATTGGTATTTAGTTACTTAAAATCAGATGATTACCACAAATAATAATAATAATAATAATAATAATAATAATAATAATAATAATAATAATATACCATACATTTCATACAACGTTTGACCACAGAGTATCAGGATGTCCAGTCTTTGCTGAGATGAGACAGAATACATTATTAGGCATGACAGGCTACGAAAATATATTCATTGGTATGTCTATTCGAACTATGATATTGGAGTCTTAGATACATGGTAAAAACACCTTTCGGATGATGTCACAAATGGTGATGGAGTGACTATAATGTGGAATTTCCAAATCCTCACAGACAGGGAAATTGATGCAAACAGATCAGACATAATCATAAAAGATTTTACAAAAAGAATCTGCCAACTAATTGATAGGACTTTGGACACAGCTTTCCAACGTTTCCAAAAACTAATTTCAAAAACTGTCAAATAATAAGGAGCTGCAAATCGAAGTATCGAAAATGTGAAAACTTCAAACTATATTTATTCCTGTTGTAATAGGGGCATTGGGAATGATAAAGAATGGTGCTGAAAATCATGTGGGTAAAATCCCTGGACACATCAGCATCTCACAGCTACAAAAGATTAATTTGTGCGGAACTGCACATATCATTTGCAAAACCCTCTCCATCTAAAAGAACCGTTCCAAATATGCATAGATAAACCTCCTACGGTGGTATTTTTACTCATAGACTCCGGTGGGGACTTGGTAATTAGACACTGAGAAATTACTCTCTGGCAAGATTGTACCACAAATAATAATAATAATAATAATAATAATAATAATAATAATAATAATAATAATAATAATAATCGATGACGGCAAAGAAAATGAAAAGATTGCAAAATACCAGGAGCTGGACATGAAACTGAAGAAGCTATAGAACATGAAGTAATTCCGTCCAGAAACGTGAAAGAGAATTTAGGAGAAATTGGAATTTAAACAAAGACTGTAGACCTCCAGATATCTGCCCTCATTTACTCAATAGAAGGATTCTTCGAAAACTTCTTGACCTATGAGGAGTCATATTGACACCATATCTCAAGAACTGACATTTTCATTGACTAAGTCAATGTGCAACACCAACATAATAATAATAATAATAATCATAATCATAATAATAATAATAATAATTTTGCAATCTTTTCATTTTCTTTGCCGTCATCTATTATTATTATTATTATTATTATTATTATTATTATTTGTGGTATCATCTTGCCAGAGGGTAATTTCTCAGTGTCTAATTACCAAGTTCCCACCGGAGTCTATGAGTAAAAGTTGAGTTGAAGATATTCAAAAAGCTGTCAAAATACAAGGACCTTGAAATAGAAATCTTGAAAATGTGGCATATGGGAACATCAACAATCCCTGTTGTAGTTGGAGCCCTATGAATGGTTGGAAAAGATTCCAGTAGACTAATTGGAGGGATTCCTGGAAGTCCATGCCTGAAAGAGATACAAAAAATTGTTCTGACAAGTACAGCCCACACTTTACGAAGGGCTTTATCTATGTAATTATTTTTTTTTGTCAGTGGAAAGTGTGATGATGCCATTTCTAACCTTAGGTCCATGGGCGGGACCCGGAAAGAAATGTATAATCACCAGAAATCAAAGGAAATAATAATAATAATAATAATAATAATAATAATAATAATAATAAGGTCTTTAATAATAGCAGAAATAATAATAATAATAATGTAGTGATGATGTAGTTGTGACCCTCGGAGTAATTGGAAAATTTTCCGATAGACTCATTGAAGGGATTCCTGATAGTCCATGCTATAATGAAATACAAAAGTACAACTCATTCATTACGAATTTATTTATTTACGTAAAATGTGTGGGATCTTAGTATGACGTATTTTTTTCCATTTTTTGTTCTTTTTCTTTTTTTTTTACAAAATGGAAAATGTCATCAAACAATTTCTGACCTTAGGTTTCTGGTTGGGACCCGGAAAGAAAATTTGTATGGAGCATAAATCCAAGGACACAATAATAATAATAATAATAATAATAATAATAATAATAATGATGATACTACTACTACTACTACTACTACTACTACTAATAATAATAATAATGCTGTAGTTGTGACCCTCGGAGTAATTGGAAAATTGACCGATAGACTCATTGAAGGGATTCCTGATAGTCCATGCTATAATGAAATACAAAGTACAACTCGCTCATTATGAATTTATTTATTTACGTAAAATGTGTGGGATCTTAGTATTACGTTTTTTTTTCCATTTTTTTTTTTTTTTTTTTTTTAAAAAATGATCAGTGGAGAATGTCATGAAGCAATTTCTGGCCTTAGGTTTCTGCTTGGAACCCCGAAGGAAAAGGCTACAGAACATAAATCCAAGGAAATAATAATAATAATAATAATAATAATAATAATAATAATAATAATCGAAACATTGTTATTGTTTAGATGTTTACAAGAAATAAGCCATGTTATAATAACCTTTTGAACACTCTATAACAATAATAATAATAATAATAATAATAATAATAATAGCAAGAAGAAGTAGGAGGAAAAATGATGATGATGATGATGATGATACAAAATGACGAAGACGTTACTTGACATGACGTAGAATTGATTCCTGTAACAAAGGGGGCACTTGCAAAACCACCTATAAACTTAAAAGAGCACTTAGGGCAAACTTTGAATTGAGACCAAGATTATCGACCTCCAGAAATCTGCCATCATTGACTTTGCCAGGATTATCCGAAAAGTTCTTGAGCTGCTGTGAGCAATCATACAGTTTATCAAGTGTCATGAAAGAAGATTCAAAAGCAGACTGGTTTCGAAAAATATATTACTGATATTGTTCCTTCAAAGAATGGCGGTTAATAGCATCATTAGAGGATTGTAATTGATAGAACATCTGAATCAGAATCCCCGCCGCCTAAAGTTGCAAGATGTCTGAAACAAATTTAATATAAACCAAGAACTTTTGAACATTTCTTAAAATTTCTTTTTCGTTCCTTTATTAGATCTTCCGTAATACAAAGCACGAGAGCCATTCAAGGTAGAGTATTATTGAATCGTTGATTGATTCGTTTTCTACAGGTTATCAAATGCTTGCAGATTATTTAAAGCCAGAAACTATTTTTTAGATTGTAAGAAACCGATCTGGTCAATTGGGAGACGGAAGCTGCAGAAAGAATAAAATTGGAGAAGAACAGTCCACGAAAAAAAAATACAACATCCTTCGAAAACACCAGAAGCCAAATAAAAGAGAGGAAGAGAGCCGAAAGAATAGCCAGATCTCGCTACACACTTAACACTCTGCTCATACCGTGAGGTATTTGGGTACGTCTCTTCTGATCCAGCAGGGGACTTATTTAACACAGAAGGAAATCTCTATGACCACCCCCAATACTCGCCAACGATTCTGCCAACGGCGTAATAATAACAATGATGATAATAATAATAATATTATTATTAATAATAATATTAATCATTTATTTCTTTTATTTTTTCATGCATCATACATTGCGACAAGAATAGATTTAGAATATGAAAGAAAGGCTTTACTTGATTATTTTTTTTATTAATTATTCACTAAGTACAAGACCTAAACAGTCCTGGGTATGACGATAAACTACATCCAACATCAAGGCCTCTGATCAGGAGGCTTTGAGAAGCGGGGAATCACCTCTTAATTGTTGGTATTCCCAGGTCCACCTTGACCCGGGGTGGTAGCACCTGTTAGGGTCCCAGATATGAGCAAATAGTTAACCCCAAAAGGGGTAAAGTATTATGAAACTTTAAAAATAGGTTTTAATATCAATGATACTTTTTTGGAAAAAAAAAATTACCAGCAACACATTTAAAAAAAAATATTACCAGCAATACATTTTTGAAAGAAATATTACCAACAATATATTTTTTGTAAAAAATATTGCCAGCAATAAAAATATTGTCGACATTAAATAACCCATTGAGTTTGATATGCCGGAAACCAAACCAAAACCAAGATGTAAAATCACTCAAATGATTGCTTGATTCGTTTTCTATAGCTTATTAACTTTTTGCATGTTGCTTAACAACCGTTCAGTGTAGAGGGTTGCTGAATACGGTAGATGCAGAGGAAGAAGTAAGAAGAATTGTTTTGAAGTAAGGTTTTTATTATATCTTTTTATTGTTATTTTTTAACAAGTTAACATCTATTAGATAGCAGAGTACCCAAATTTCACTTATGCGCAAATAATCTTGAGAAAGGTGAGAATCCCGCTTTTATTTAAGCTATGGGTTAAATCCATCCATCCAGGTCGATCGTATCGAGCCACTGCCAACGATTCTTTCTTTAGCTGTATAATATGTGCTACACCAGGGCTACATAGAATTTTGAATTCAGTGTTAATTTTCTCCTAGACAGGTTACCACCCAGTCTGTCCGGCTATTCACCCATAGCTGGTGGGAGAAGAGGCTTCATATCTTTTCCAAGGGTATTAGCTCGTACATAGTAGGACTTATACCTGGAAAATCATTGCTGGTGCAATTGTTACAATACAAATATATATGTTTCAGCATTAAATAACTCATGAAGTGTTGATAAACTGTAAAAATAAACTCAATGCAAACTGTATCTGAAAAAATCGACATTCTCCATTTCAGGATAAAATGAACAATATTCTATTACTGGTTTTTATAATCGAATTTGAGATCCATCGTCAATTTAAATTTTCTCAAGAACCTGGGTTTCGGAGGGAACATAGACTGCTTAGATAAGTAAACTAGTGCCCATTAAAAATGACTTGCGTATCTTGCTTTTTTTCATGCTATCTAGACATAGGCGATCATGGATCTCCACAACTTCCTATCTCGTGTGGCTCTTCTCAGTTCTTTTTACCTTTTGTTAAGGTTATCGCTCTCCGTTTCGGCATCCATCCACACAAGCACGCCAGGGTAGTGGATGCTTTCCCCTGTCTAACTTGCCCTCAATATGCTCCCGGAAAGATTAAGTTTTTGCCCTCCTTCCTCATTATGTATCTGTTGTGGTGTCCTCCCTCTAAAGTGTCTATGTTGGACTGTTCTCCCAAGGCCTTCTAATCTTATAGTGGGCGGAAGAGTCCAAAATAGACTCATTAGAGGGGCCATCACAACGGTATCCAACAACTTCTTTCTTTCTGTTTCTATTTTCCTTAAGATTTCCTTGTTGCTTGTTCAATCCGTCCAGGGAATTTTCAGTGTCATTCTGTAGAACCAGATCACTGCGATAAAAAAAAAAGATGGCCGGAGAGAGAATAGAATTTAGAAATATTTTCTAAATTCGTTATTAAACAACATATGTTTGGTATGAAATATTTCTATATTTTTCGTATAATATATAGCTCGTTGTATATGATCGGTCTTAATTTTCTTCCTATATTTCTACAGAGCACAGCAAATACCAAGAGGAATTAAAAGAACTATCATTTAAAAAAAAATGAGAACAAGGAAAAACGTGATGTTGAGACAGAGATATTCCTTGGTTATAAAGACGGGTTATTCTGAAAATAGGCAACTCACTGAGGATGGAAAACTTGCCTTCGCCTTTGGGCGAGAAAGGGAAGAATATCCACACCGCATGAAGCATCTTAGAAATAAAACCGAACAATCAAGCAGCAACCGAAAGGCGTCTTACTACCTTCGCGAACGAAGCAGAGAGTCCAGAACGGGAATTAAAACTCGTTTTTAATTCTTGCGCACTGAAGGTGTTTTGGGAAGCGTGAAATACATTATGGCATCTCATTCTTCGGTTCGCTAATTCTACTCGTCTCTAAGTTCGTAATTCTAAAAGTTCGCTTTTCTACTCAACCCCTTTTACCATTCTAATTCTGTCGCTTTTACAACGAGCCAGATTTGCGAACGCTTTTCTGTTACCAGTTCTGAAAATGAATATAGTAAACAAACACGAAATCAGCGTAGAATTAATGATAAATCTATCGAACTTAAAACAGAGATCAATAGGCTAAAAAGGCATTTCGCCATGTAAATGATGCATCTTTCTTTTATTGGATTATTATCGAGTGGAGTTGGCGGGTAATTCGATTTAGCCTAACCATGTCTGTCTGTAAAATCAGCGAGCGTTGCATGCGGCAATCGGAAGTTTAAATATATTCAAATAAGTTGCCAAGAATTTAAAAAAAAATAAATTTATATCTATTTTTGATTAAAGCAGACGATTTGTTTCTTTTTTGTGTGTTTTTATGCTCATAAAAGTCAGCCATCTTGAATTCAAAGTTTATGAGAGAAGATTAATTGGAAATAGAGACAAACCGGAAGCTGGGTGTCTAATGAAGACGATGTGGGACGTGAAGCCGAGAAAGGAGAAGCAAATCAGAAAGAGGATACAAAGTAATTGAAAAGATGCGTGCGAATTATATTGACATAGAAAGAAGGCAATAAAAAAAAGGCATGAACCTAAAAGAAAAATAGAATTTAAAGGAAATGAAGAAAAAGAAAGAGTTGGTGTGTGGAACAAAATTGAAATATGACACAGAAGTCTTATTAATAGTCCTGGAACCTTAAGTTTGTCTTTTTCTTAATTATTTAATTAATATCTGCCCTGGTGTTACATTGAGCTCTCAGGATTACATCTTTGAAATTATCTACACGGATTACCAAACCCTTCATTACCTTACTCTTATCTCAAATAAAAACTTAAAAGAGATTGTTTAACCAACACAAGGAATGTTAAAAGATTCATGTTAAAAAGATAAAAAAAATAAATAAACAAATGAAAACTACAGACAAAAGTTCATTTTCTCCATCAAGACATTCATTTCTGTAGTTCACTGCTACCAGCAAGCAGAAATATTTCTTCTCCTGATGATGGCCATTTTGGCTGAAACTAGTCGAGGAATCTAAATGAAATAATAAGAAGAAAAACGAAAGAATATTAATCTACAACCCTGTGTGTCTAAAGATTTTAATTTTTAATAATTTTTTTGTTCAATATATATATATATATATATATATATATATATATATATATATATATATATATATATATATATATATATATAATGATATACATATATATATATGTGTGTGTGTGTGTATCTCTTGCCAATGTACACCACAACTATATTTCTAGACTAAAATTTTGTATTATTATCCATACACAATTTTTTTTACACACTTAATTTTCTAAGTTCATTTGTTTTATTTATCTGTATTTAAAATCCCTATATCTCTTATAATATCTTTTGGAGCCTACGCAAAAGCGCTCGACAAAGTACGCCACAAGGATCTGATGGAACTGCTCAGCGATCTTACTATATCTCAGATATCAGAATAATCAAGAACCTATACTGGCAGCAAACAGCATACATGCGCATAGGAAAACGGGTTCAGTGAATATACAGTAACAGAAAGTGGCGTAAGGCAAAGATGCATCTTCTCACCCGACCTGTTCAACTTTATACAGCGAGGCAATTCTGAGAGAATTGGGAACTCTACCGGGATTTAGCAGTGGCGCCCACAAGATACGCAGATGACACAGTATTGATAGCAGACACGGAAAAGAAATTATAAAATCTCCTACAGAAGTTAGCGACGGAGAGCGAAAAGAAGGGACTAAGCATGAACTACAAGAAGACAGAATGCATGGTCATCAGTAAAAGGGAGAGCCCAAAATGCGATTTGCAGGTCGGGAACACTAGAATCAAGCAGACGTAGAAGTTTTTTAACAGAGGACGGTAAGTGTGACGCTGAGATCCATAGACGTATTGGGATGGCCAAGGACACATTCCAAAAGCTGGGCGGAGTATTGCAAGACTGGAGGATTTCTTTGGTAACAAAGAAAAGAATACTGAGCTGTTATGTGACATCTGTCCTTCTTGAAGGCAGCGAATGCTGGCCGATTTCCTCAAAGATGAAGAGACTCGAGGTGACAGAGATGTGGTTCTTGGGAGGGTGCTAAGGATATCATCGACCAAGCGTGTGAGCAACGATGAGGTCTTAGAGAGGTTGTAAACAAGGAGGAGGCTTATACTTAACATCAGGAAGAGGAAGCTGAAGTTTCTGGGACACATAATGAGGAAGGAGGGCCTAGAGAATCTGATACTCACAGGTTGAATAGAGGGAAAGAGAGACAAGGGAAAACAACGAGTGACATACCTGGCGGGTTTAAGCAAGTGGATGACAGAACGTCGTCTGGGGGTGGGGGAGTTGTTGAGAGCTGCAAGGGATAGAGAAGGTGGAGAGCCATGATCGCCTACGTCGTGAAAGTACATGACACATAAAGGGAAAAAAAGAATGATGATTACTGTTGTTATTATTGTAATTTCTAATTATTATTTCTAATTATTATTTATATTAAGGACTCTTTCATCGAAGTAACTAAGTTTGAAATGTGTTGGTTGCTCATACCTAAAACAACAGGCCATATCAGTAAACTTGGTATATAAACCAATATACAAAATACCAAATTTTCAGGAAATTCTTGGGCGGGTCAGTCTGTAAAGGCTTACTACTAGCCATCCATTAACTCTTTCTTTTCCATCCACCATCAGTCTCATCTTTTTAAAAGAGCCTTACTTTTTTCTTTTACACTCTCTCTCTCTTTCTTATGTTCCCTTCCCCCTATTAATCTAATATATCCGTTCGGTATATTGCCTCCATTGTCTAAGACATTTCTGTCTGAAGAAACAAATACTTAGGTATTATTATTATTATAATCTCTACTTATTGTTTGTATTAAGGACTCTTTCATTAGACTAATATGGAATCGAAATGGTTTTTCATGACTAAAACAGCAAACTATATCGGTCAATTTAATGTATAACCCATTGTAAAAAGTCCCAAAATTTAAAGGAAAAATTCTCAGCCGGGCCAGCTGGTTGAAGCTTACAACTATCCAAACATTGCTTCCTTAACTCTTTCTTTTACACCCCCTTATCTCACCTCTTCTATCTTGCTTTCCCTCCCCACTATCAATCTAATATCTCTCTCCAGTGTATTGTCTCTGTCTTTTTTACAAATACTTTCATAGTAACTGCTCCGATGAGCTGCTTTCTATGGTTCCCAGACTACATGAATTCAAGCGTCCTACGAGGCTGGCATCCCGCTCTCACCCTTTAACTGTTGAAACTGATAAATGTAGCCGTCTCTTCTACTCCAATAGCTTCATATCTCGCACCTCTCGCCTATGGAACTCACTTCTCTTTTCCTGTTTCCCTGATAGCTATGATCTCCAACTATTCAAATGTAATATTAATCGACATCTCCATATATATATATATATATATATATATATATATATATATATATATATATATATAAATACGAAATGCGTCTAGCAATTGTTTTCAAATTCGGACAGCCGGAAGTAGGAATATCAGACGTTATAAAAAACATGCGCACCATGCCCGGCGATCAGTTATAAGCCGGACAGCTGTGAGAAGGATGGAAGTGTCTAGAGATCTCGTTCGGGGCTGTTTGCTTTACGACTTCAAAGTGGGATTATCAGGAGCTGCATCAAGTCGCCGCATATGTAAAGCGTTTGGGGATAGGTCTGTGGATGAACGTACTGCAACGTACTGTTGGTTTCGAAAATTCAAGTCGGGAGATTTGTCTCTCCATGATGAGCCTCGATATGTACGACCACAGGTCTTGAATGATGGAATCCTGAAGGCGGCCATTGAAGAGGACAGTAGTCTAACATGTGGTGAACTTGCAAGACAGTTCAACGTTTCCGATGAAACAGTTAGACTTCACCTGCACCACCTAGGTAAGACGTACAAGCTGAGCAAGTGGGTTCCGCAAACGCTGTTGGAGGTCCACAAGGGACAACGAGTGGCAGCCAGCGTACCGCTGCTTTCTCGCCACTGTACCGCATCCTTATTCAATGGAGTGCTTACCAGTGATGAAAAGTGGGTTCCGTACGAAACTCCCAAGCGTTCCAGACATTGGTTATCTCCTCAGGATGCTGTCCCTCACACCGCAAGACCGCCTATGCACCCACGCAAGATTATGCTTTTTGTCTGGTGGACAGGTCGTCAAGTGATTCATTATGAACTGCTACCAACGGGCCAAACGGTCACTAAAGCAACTGGAACGTGTGCAACAGGCATTGCGCCAGAAGGCGCGAGCACTGGTGAATCGCAAAGGTGTGCTTTCCCTCCATGACAACGCCAGCCCGCGTGTCGCGCGAGTGGTCAGGGATACCATAGAGCAAATTGGGTGGGAGACTTTGTGCCATCCACCTTATTCACCTGACCTTGCGCCATCCGATTACCACCTCTTCCACTTCCTGGATAATCATCTTCGTGGGAAATCCTCCCCCAATGAAGTAGACTTGCGAAAAGCCCTCACGGACTTCTTTGCGTCAAAACCCCCGAGTTCTACCGCAAGGGCATTGAACAGCTGGAGACACGTTGGCAGAAGGTGCTGGATGCCGATGGCGATTACTTCGAAGACTAAATATAAGTTACACATACTGTGAAGCGTTTTCTTTTTTTCCTTTAAAAACGGACAGAACTTTTTTGGTTACCTTGTAATAATTAAAATTAAAATGAATTAAAGTATCAAGCTCTGTTTCATCCTCAAGGACAAAATAGAGCTTGATACTTTTATTCAATTTAATTTTAA